CTTAAGAGCATCGCAAGTGCGTCCGTTGTATACTATTTTTTTTTTTTTTTTTTCGGAAACAGCTGAATAAATCTGCGGTGTTATAAAAGGGGTTTGGGCATCAGTGTCAATAATATAGTTTAGGGTTGGGTCAAACGTGCGCAGTGTTGTTACTAAGGGGGTTACGGTCCCTGGGAAGCCATGGATATTATTTATTAAATAAATATATTATCTTAATAAAATCTTTGGGCGTAATGGATGCGAGCTACGACTTTTTAAAATTTAACCCCCCCCCCCCCTTTTTTTTTTTTGCAAAAAATTTATTTATTAAATAAATATATTATCTTAATAAAATTTTTGGGCGTAATGGATGGGAGCTACGACTTTTTAAAATTTAACCCCCCCCCCCCCTTTTTTTTTGTAGCAAAAAATTTACGCCACAACATGGTTGCGATTATTTGATGGGTATAGCAATATCTGAAAGTCCAAATAGGTTACAGAACGGAAATCGGTATATAGTTAGTTTTAAGACTAATTGAACCATGTATTTACCTTAAATATATGTCAGTGGGAGGCAAAAAGAGTGAATACACTTTCATGTAAATAACAAAAAGTTTAATTTCCGATGATTCTTAAAGTCGCAAAAAAAAAAAAGATTGTACATTATCTTTTAAAATAAATAAATACGTGTAGCAGTAATTTTAGAAAATGCAGTTCAAGGGCGTTGTCACATGGTGGACACATTTTTCTAAACTCAATGAAGTTGAACAAGGGAAAATAGCCGCTAAGATTTTCTTTTACCTTAAGGACATCGTAATTTTTTTTCCATTTTTCCAAATATAGACTTCAGGGTTGAGGATAAAGCATGGGCAAATATTGAGTAGGAAAACATGATTTCTTTATTTAAAAATTTATAGTGAGCATTTCGTGGGGAAAAAACAAACAAAACAAACATTTAAAATTTGAAAGAATGAGAGTGATGTCATTGTTATAAGGCTTACAGTCTCGAAAAACTCAGATAAATTTACAGATGTGAAAATTTTATTTTTAAAAAATAAATACTTAGTCTATATTTTTTCTCTCCATTTCTCTCAAATGCAGGTCAGGGGCTTAAACAACAAAAAAACAAAAAAGTTACGATTTTTCTTTAAATGTGAGTAAATATTTGGTATTTTCATTTTCTCAAAATACAGTTTAGGGGCATAGATACATTTTATGTGATGAAAAGAATAGTTCAAGAAAAAAACAAAACAAAACAAAAACAACCCACAAGACTGTTATGGAAGTGAAAATAAGTTAAAAGACAAATCTTTAAATATATTTATTCAGTTTCTAACCATTTTCTGATAAAGTAGATCAGGAGCGAGGCAGAGTTTCAATAAATTTTAAAGGATGATACAAATCTATCAAAATCCGCTATTGCTAGAGATATCTAAAATGATACACATAATTGTAAAGAAAATTTAAAAACAATTTTTTTATTTTATTTTATTTGTAGCTCAGGGGGTTCGTAAAAAGGGTTTGGGTAGGCCTATATTATATAGAAGAAAAAAATAAAAACCAAATGATGTAAGAAACGTAAGAAGCTATAAAAAGAATCTTCTGAAAGAATAACAAAATTCTGATTTATATATACTTTTCAATGATGTTGAAAGTTGTCGTATCTACCTTTTTTGTTGAATTTGTGTGTGTGTGTGAAATATCATACATTAATATCCGATTAATATACATACGTAAAAAAATAGATTTTTAGTTGTCGAAACTTTCGCCATAGCAGGTTGAAAGTAACACAACAAATCTTCCCTTATTATTCTGGTAACACCGAGTCACATAATCTAGTTATAGATATTGGCGTTATACCTTTTATCAAAGAGGGTTTCATGTGATTTTTCTAAAGGTTGGCACGAGAGAGACTTCCTCTTGTGAATTGCTTTAAAGTAATTTTATTTAGTACCATCCTTATCCCTTCTTTAATACCAGCCTAATCTCTTTTTAAAAAACAAAATACATATAACAATACTCAAGACCAGATTCAGTAACATAAGAAAAATAAGATTTTTAGTTGTTGAATCTTCGTATCAGCTGGTGGAAAGTAGCGTAATACGCATTTTATTATTATCCCGGTAACACAGGCTCAAAATTTCTAGTTATTGATATTTGTGCTATATTTCTTATCAGCAAATGCTTCATGTGCTTTTCTAAAGGCTGACATCAGAGAGACTTCCTGTTGTACATTTCTTTAATGTGTAATGCCCCAGCAGTTTCATACCTGCTTATGCGTCCTACGTCATTCATTTGCACAGTAGCATACGTTTAATGCCTTATGGTGCACATTAGAAAAGTTCAATGATGCGCGCACAATATGTTATTTTAAAAAGGTGCGCACACACGCTTCTCGGGGTTACAAACATAGAGTTAACACCGTGTGCGTGCATAGCCTCAATCAAAATAGGTTTAGAAACACCATGAGCTCGACAAGAAACACATAAGCGGATAAAATGAAGACCGTTTATAAAATATGATTTTTAAAGATAAATATGGCTGGTAAAGTTTTTTTTGTAATGCAATTCAGTGTTAATGGAATGTAGTTCAGTATTTTTGGAATGCAGTTCAGTGTTTTTGGAATGCAGCTCAGCGTTTTTTTTTTGGAATGTAATTTAGTTTTATTGGAATGTAGTTCAGTGTTTTGAAACATAGTTAATTGTGTTTGTAATGTCATTTATTGTTTTTTGAATGTAGTTCAGTGTTTTTGGAGTGTAGTTCATTCTGCTTGTAATGTAGTTTAGTGTTTTTGGAATGTAATTCAGTTTTTTTGGAAGGTAGTTCAGTTATTTTGAAATGCAGATCAGCGTTTCTGGAATCTAGTTAAAGGTTTTTGGAATATAGTTCAATGTTTTAGGAATGTAGTTCAGTGTTTTTGAATGTAGCTCAGTGTTTTGGGAGTTTAGTTCAGTGTCCTTGGAATGCAGTTAATTAATTTTAGAATGTAGTTCAGTGTTTAATGAAAGTAGTTTGGTGTATTTGGAATGTATTTGAGTGTTTTGGAATGTAGCTAAGTGTTTTGAGAGTGTATTTCAGTGTTTTAGGAATGTAGAATGGTGTTTTTTCTATTGTAACTCAGGGCTTTGAGAGTGTATTTCAGTGTATTAGAATGTAGCTCAGTGTTTTTGGGAACGTAGAGCTCCGTGTTTTGGGAACGTAGCTCAGTGTTCATAACGTTATTTAAATATTTGCTACAATTTTCCATGAAACTGTCATGTTGATTGTTTTATTTAGATTTTCTTCGGCTCTAGAATATTAAGGCGAGGCATTTGTCCCTTCACGATTTTGATCCAATCTGAAGATCTTTACGTTTGGTATGTGCCCCCAATGGGCCGGCGTACGACGTCACATTTTCTCTGGTTTTAAAAAAAAAGTGTGAGGTCGGGGGAAGGGGGGTAGTCGGTTCGTGGGTGAGTAATAGTCGGGCCGGATATCCGTTTTCAGTTAAAAACAAAAATGTTCCTGTCAATGTTTATGCACACGGGCGCTTGGTGAAGACACCGTTGTCAATACATCATGCGGTACGGTGTGAAGGGGTCAACGGCTTAAACTATCCCGTTCGGCCTTCCACGGGTTGTCTGTGTAGTCGTCGTCATCATCACCCTCGTGTGGCTCGACCGTCACGCCACCAATACCGGAATCGTTGAGATGCTCTACTGGATGTGTGTCTTTTGGGGATTCGTCACCTAGGCTCACCGCAAGATCATCGCTCACGAAATCAGATCGAACTTCTTCAGCGATCACACGCTGGCTGTCTTGAGCTCCCCTGATCTCCCCCGAAACTTCGTCGTGCTCATTCCTACCCAGGGGCGGCTCCTCGTTAATCTGCACACCGTGGACGACATCTTGACCCAGTAAGACGGCATCATCACCTTGCTTATCTTTACGTCTGCTACCAGCGCCGTTTCCATGGGTTTCCTCCTCATCACATTCATTCTGAAACGTATCTTCCCTTGTTATCGCCTCAACATTTGAACCATTCTCATCCCTTCCATTTCCATCAGAGTCCTCCATTAGCGTGACGCCATTTTGAATATCTGCCGTGACGTCATCAGTCGATTCGTCACTCGAATCCTCCTCATATGAATTATCGTCGTTGTTATCCGACTCGTCGTCTTCATCATTGTTAGCGTGCTCCTCCTCAAGGTGTTTCTCGCTGGCTTCACCAGCCCCCTGATCGGGGTTTCCGTAACCAGGCACAGCTCCTACGTTGGTGGACTTCCGCTTGAACAGTTCAGCCGCTGCCACAAGACCCCCAGCCGTCCCCGCTCCGGCGGCCCCGATGAGGACCTGAGCGCCTAGTCCTAGTCCTGAGATACCGGCAGCTTCCAGGGCTGAAACAATCAACAGTCCCACCCTGCGGACAAAAAGAAATTGGATCTTTTTAAAAGGCGTATGCGATGGTTAAGTCATTTTTTTTTTAAAATGGTGTCACTCTTGATCAACCTCCACCAGTTTTTTCTCAAATATCTGCGAGTAGTGTTGAACGTCGGAGTAGAGCTTGTTACATATTTAAAAAAAACTGACATGAAAACATTAAACATCATTTCAAAAGATCACGTTTAAATGACGACAGAAAGGAAAAAGCTATTAGGAGGTACAATAAAATATCACACATATTTTCGGATTGAATCTTAACATTTGTGAGTGTTTAAAACGTTCTGTTTATTGTCATGTACTTGATACTCCCAGCAAATAAATAGACCCTTGCTAGGCCAAGCAGTCTTATGGCTGTGTCATTTTAAACTAGAATACTATAAAAGCGTACACTGAAATAACATTGTGTGATCGGGTCATTCATTTTGTAAACCATTTACTGACCCGGAAGAGGAAGCTGCTGACATCAGACCAGCGGCCAGACTCCCTGCGGCGATGCCGCCCGCCTCGAAACCCAGGGCCGCAATGGCGAAAGGCGCGGCAACGGCACATCCGAATCCTGTCAAAACCACACCGCTCAGCATCAGGGCTGTCACACAGATGCCCCGACCGTCTTTTGAGGGACGGAGTTTCTCCGGTGGTGCGTCGGCGTTGAATTCCGTAGCGTCGAAATTTTTCTGAGTTTCTGGAACGCTGACGGGCTCAGTGCGCAACTGCTTCTCGTCGTCTGGAACTGGTGTTGTGGACGTAGTGATACACTGACTTCCGATGACATTTGACGGGTTGTCGATAGCTCCTTCTCCCTCGCCACTTTCTGCGGTGGGCACATCATCTCCTTCCCTTTGATTAGTAGCTGCCATCGGCGTATCACCGGCTTCTCTGTGAAAGATTTCTTTCACATTTGGATCTTCTGCATCCTTGGTTTTACTGTTATAGAAATTTATTTTTTCCATTTCGTCTGCCTCTGTATCTGGCGAAAGTGCACGATTTTCAGAAGGTTCATTGTTCCTATAAGAGGCCATCGAATCTATTTCTTCAGGTCCCATCGTTGAATTCGATGACGTCACCTCATTCACCGTATCAGCTTCTCCAACATTTGAAGGCTCATCACTCCCATGATCTGTTCCACCAGAAGCGGGCGTTGACTTCATTTTAGCTTCTACGTGTTCCAAACATTCAAGTCTTGCCGGCGCTTCATTTTGCACTGATGCGTCCACCACAGTTTCGGAAACCTTTCTGTCAACGGAGCTGCACGCCTCACTGACCAGCGCTGTCACCATCTCTTCAGCAACGCGGTGAAGTCGTGCCAACCCATCCCGGCCCTCGGGTGTGACACTTTCTTCTATCCGGTGCAGCTGTGGAATCTCACGCTCTGATGCGACACCGTCTTCCGTCCCATGAGGCTCAGACATCGGAATCTCTGTGTCCTGAATGCCGGGGGCAGCTTTCGTTTTTACTTCGGCAACTTCGGAACCTTTGCCGATTTCCTTCAATGGTTGTCCTGTTTCTTGATCCGTCTGGCCAGATGGATTATTTGTTGACTCTTCCAGACGCTCATCTTTAGATTCGCTTGTAATAAATTTGTGCCCTGCTTTCTTTTCTGGTGAGCTAAGCCCTGGTTGATTTGCTCCAAAAGATAATTCCTTTGTCGCATTCAATGCTTGTTCCCTTGCTTCATTCAATGATTGTTCCTTTGCCTCATTCAATGATTGTTCCTTTACCTCATTCAATGATTGTTCCTTTGCCTCATTCAATGATTGTTCCTTTGCCTCATTCAATGATTGTTCCTTTGCCTCATTCAATGATTGTTTCTTTGCCTCATTCGATGATTGTTCCTTTGCCTCATTCAATGATTGTTCCTTTGCCTCAAGTAACACTTGTTCCATTGCCTTATTTAAGGCTTGCTCCTTGGACTCATTCTCTTCTTCTTCGCGACATTCATTTAAGGATTGTTCATTTAGTTCAATAAAACTTTCGTCTATGGGTTCACTCAACGTTTGTTCTATTGGTTCACTCAAAGTTTGTTCTATTGTTTCACTCAAGGTTTTTTGTATTGGTTCACTCTCAGTTTGTTCTATCGTTTCACTCAAAGTTTGTTCTATTGATTGACTCAAATTCTTCTCTAGTGGTTCATTCAGCATTTGTTCTATTGGTTCACTTAACCGTTGTTCTATTGGTTCACTCAACTGTTGTTCTGTTGGTTCACTCAACTGTTGTTCTATTGGTTCACTCAACTGTTGTTCTATTGGTTCACTCAACTGTTGTTCTATTGGTTCACTCAACTGTTGTTCTATTGGTTCACTCAACTGTTGTTCTATTGGTTCACTCAACCGTTGTTCTATTGGTTCACTCAACTGTTGTTCTATTTGTTCACTCAACCGTTGTTCTATTGGTTCACTCAACTGTTGTTCTATTGATTCACTCAACCGTTGTTCTATTGGTTCACTCAACTGTTGTTCTACTGGTTCACACAATGTTTCTTCCTTCCCCTCATTCAAAACCTGCTCCATCGCTTCACTTAAGGCGGTCTCCACCTCACTAGACCACGCTTGCTCCTCCTCTTCGTTAAGGCTTCTTTCATCCACTTTTTTCACCGCTTGCTCCGTCCCTTTAACTAATTCCGCTGTCTCGTTCAAGTCATGCCCTGTTGTCCAATCAACCGCTGATCCAATCTCTCCAATCTCCTCGAAACTCTCATCACAAACGTCGTCAATTTCACTCCTCGCCTTCGAGCTCGGCTCATCGCTTGCACCGCATTGTGTTTGACCCATTTTTTCCTCTTGGCTAAACGCCTGCTGCCCTACATTAGCTTGCCGCCCTTCAAAATCATCACCTGTTACACCAGCTACCGTCTCATCTGGTATTTCCTTCTCAACAGAAGCGTCGGCAGCGTTTAACTCCATTACTGCGCCAGGGACACCATCGCTTCGTTCTGGAAACGACTCAGTGCTTATAATAGAATCAACGCCGTCTGTTGTCAGAATTTTGGGGAAATCTCTTACGTTGTGACTCGTTGTCGCTACGACGTCAGCAGCAGCAGGATGAGACGTGGTGACGACGTGCGCCGTTTGATCCACACCGTCTCTGTCTTCAACACGTGTTGCTTCGACGGTGAATTGTATGTTGTGACTGGATCCCAAAGCAGCGTTAATATCTTCATTGTTTTCATTGGCTGCTCTGGAAATGGACGAGGAATCCTCTCGATTCCTGGTTGTTGGATCTTTACACTGCGAGACGTCTACAGCCTCATTGGCTCTTCCAGAGGAAGAAACATCTTCTTCTTGTTTATCCCCTCTTTTATCGAAGCCTCGGTCTTCTTGATTTTTGGCGTCCCGAAAGACAGCTCTTGCTGAAGTTTCTCGTTCGGATGTTTCTAAAATCTCACCAGCACCCTGGTTTACAGCGACTTTGTTTTCTGAATGTGTTGATGGCGTGACGTCTGTCGCTGTAATGATGTCGCTCGTTGAGGGCGTCGGTTCATCATCGACGTCAGCTTCTACTCTACGAGAAGATTTCTGTGTGACATCAGCCATTTTCAAATCTACTGGGACAAAAACAAAAATTAAAAATAAAAGAAACAATTTTGGCTCCAGAATTTTAACCTCTTTTTTAAAAAGTAACTCATTCGTATCACACAAAAAAAAATAATAAAAATAAAATTAAATTAAAAGTAAAATAAAACAAATCATAACTCCATTGTAAAAAATTTAAGAAGCCCTGGAAACATATGTTGCAAGAAACAAGATAGCCTTGAAAAAAAATATACCCCCCCCCCCGTAAATTACCTTTAATAATTCTAATATTCTATTATCCTTTTCATGTTGCGTCCTTCCAAAAGAAAAAAAGAACAGAAAATGAAAAATAAAACATAAATGAATTTTTAAAAAAATCACATTTGCATTAAATACTTAGGAATTAGCTTATCCGAGTTTTTACCCCCCCCACCCCCCTTTTCCCCACCCACTGGACTATCGTAGCATTTAATGAGGCCATATTACTGTTAAATAACATTTATAATTATGATGGCACGATGATGATGATTTATAATAATAAGGATAAAAATGACTACAATACTTATACTTATAACAATACTAGCAACAATGTTAAATGAAACTACAACCCCCCAAAAAGACGCAATGATTATTTTTTTAGTAAATTTATCTGTGCTTGACCATGAGTATTCAGCCCGTTCCTAAAGCTTACTTAACACTCACATTAAACATAAGGATGTTTGACATTTCATCGCAGGCTATTGAAAAAAAACCCCAACAAAACAAACAAACAAACAATCAGACGTGACGAGAGATGATGGGCACAGGAGTCTCAAACTATTTCACAGTAGTGCATTGTTATGATGACCCAAATTTGGTTCAATTTAGAGCAGTAGTAGCTCTCTACCACTACCAACCCCTCCCGTGATTGGGAAAAGGTTGTGTAGGTTCAAATATGCTCTAAATGAAGGTAGAGTATGTCCACGGACGATGTAAATTCTATAATTTTTTTTTTTTTTCTGGAGGTTTCTAACACCCGCCTTATGAATAAGCCAACAGCTTTACAAGTCAGACTAGATTTTCTAGATTCCCTAGACACGAGACTTTTAAGAGACTTTTTCGAGACTTCCCAGAGATAAAAGGCAAGACGCTTGCTACTTTTTTTTTAATCTCTGCGTGTGGATTAAATATTTTTAACTTTCTTGTATTTTAATTTTCTCTTGCTGTGCTGTAAGCTTTTTATAAATTTTATTTCTATTTTTTTGTATTTTCATTTTTTTTTATATAAAAGCTTAGTAACAGTATAATTAAATTGAACATTGTAAATATCACTAGCTTTGGTATCGTTTTTCTTTTGTTACTGGTTTTCAGTCCTTTGTTACTTATTGTTCATTTAACAAGCAAACTGTTAAAACTAATGTTATTAAACCATACAAATGAACTAGTCCAAACAAGATAGTACCAAAAAAAAAAATTAACATGTATTTATGGTAATGCATATTCGTAATTGAGCAAAACTAATACTCTTCAATTGGTACGCCTCTGTATCTTAGTATTTTGTTTATTTGCACACTCACCGCCCACCACAACACGTACACAAAAACCTACATTAAATATTACTCTAGAGTAGGTTTTTATTTGAAGTTGTTCATTTCTCGTGGAGCCCTGCTCAAACAGTTTGAGATGGCCTTCTGTGCCCGGGTCAATACCGCGTAGTCTTTGTGACGCAACGTGAGATAACAGCGCATCCTGTGATGGGGGGGGGGGGGGGGGGGGGGGGGGGTGGGGGGGTTCAGTGGGGGTGGCACACGATGACATCTGTTGGCCCAAGGAATGCCAGGAATGTGTGTGTGTCTGTATGTCTGTGTAACAGTCGATGTGGACGAGATGTTTTAGTTTGTTCCCAGGTCTGTCGCGTGATGAGAAACAATTTTGATTCCCGTGTTGGTTTCACTAGTCAAATGACAGAACTGTATCAATACACACTTGACAGCCGAGGCGGCCAAGCTGAGCTTGGAGCAGAAGATGTGAATCTGTGGCTCTTGTTTGTGTGTGTGTGTGTGTTTGTTTGCTGTGTTTGGGGGGTGGAGTGGCTTGGAATTATATATTTTAAAATTTATTGATTCAATTTGAAAAAAAAAAGACTTCACTCAAATAACTTCTGCTCCTTGAAGAGAGCGGTAATAATTGAAGTGTACTGTAATAGGAATGATTGTAATGCATTACCGTCTCCCTATTGTACACACATAATGTCCTCAGAAGTAGGTATTGGAAAGGTAAGAGTGTTCCTGACCACGAGTCGGCAAACCTACAGCTCGGCAGTGCCTGACTTAACTTAACGCGGGCAGAGCGTTTGTCAATAGCACTTGGATCGTTTTTAAACGGAAGCGTGTCTTATACGCTACCATGAACAATGAATTGGGCTGTAAGGCGAGCTGGATGAATTAGGCATCTTACTTCGGCACTTTACTACCAAATGTTTGCCAACCCTGGCAACGGACAATCGGCTCTCCATGAACACATATCTTGGTAATAACCTTGGAAAGGTGGCTGCGGTGGGTTGGGGGGGGGGAGGGGGTGGGCTTGCGGTCCGCCTCTGTCGGCACTTATATCCGAGGGGCGGTGTTTTTGTACAATTGAAGGTTTTGTTCGTGGAAGGAGGGACCACAACTTATCAAAAACCCCTCCGGGGCGGACACTACCCCCTTCTAGCTCCGCCGCTGATTATCCCGGCGTAATTTGCATTATTGATTATGACATGAAGTAAATCTTCACTGGTCAAAAGTTGATGGCATGCAAACGGTAAGCTACAGCCAAGAAGTTGGCTAACACCTGAGCTATAATGTCGTCGGACCAGGCCGTGTAGTATCACCTCGGCTACCAACCCACCTGGTTGCCATAATGATTTTTTTTTTAAAGAAAACTAGGTATATCACTTTGAATTTTAAAAAAAAAAACGTTGATGTTAAGTCAGCAATACAACGAGAATCTTCTAGCCAAAGGCTACGTCATCGCTATTAGTTCATTAGGCAAAGGATATCCTCGGAACAAAAGAAAAAAATTACATTAAATATCAAGTACAATTTTAAAACGAAAATTATAAAAAAATTTTATTACCTTCAATAGCCGTTAGTTTGCGGTCACTTCACTTCAGTCGAAATTCGTGATGAATCAAACTGGTTGATGAGAGTTGAAGTGTACTGTGGAAGGAATGTGGCTGAGCCGTCTAACCATCCCCACCTGGACACAACAATTCCGTCGGCGAATCAATACAGTGGAGTTTATCATCGTCTGACAGTCGCCCACCGGGGGAGGGCAGTCATCAGTCACCGTGCTGTGTGTGTGGGTGTGTGTGTGTGTGGGGGGGGGGGGGGGTTATGATAGACCACGAATGAGTCATGATAATTCAACTACAATGCAAGCATAACCCGCTAATAAGTGCTGACTGGCCTTGTAACCCCCCCCCTTAGCCCCCCCCCCCCCCAACCGGCCTGATTAAGGATTGTGTTTCAACTTGACCCAATGCAATCTCGAAAAGTCTGCTCCGCGGTTGCGATACCAATGTACTTCATCAGGAAATTGTATTCGATTCCGGATCTACGACTCTGTTTCGTGAATTCTATCGTCACCAATAAATGTGTATCATGATGAAAAAACAACAACAACAACAACAAAAAAACAACAGCTGTCCGAGTAAACATGTAATACAACAAAACCTCAGCATTGATCTGAATATAAAAAAAAAAAAAACAAAGAAAATTTCTCCGAGTACCAGAGTCGAAGTAGCCTAACCATACTCTCTAAAACCAAACAAACTAAACGGTCGAAGTAGCCTAACCATACTCTCTAAAACCAAACAAACTAAACGGTCGAAGTAGCCTAACCATACTCTCTAAAACCAAACAAACTAAACGGTCGAAGTAGCCCTACCGTACTCTCTAAAACCAAACAAACTAAACGAGTTGCGACTCCGCATATAGCAACAGCTGCCCACTTACCAGCTTCAAATAAGCCCGTTTGCCAAAAAAGGGTTTCTCAAATCATTTTCGTCGACTTCGACGCGAGATGGTTTATTGGTAATCCTTTCAAGACGTGCCTTGAGCTCGCTGACCTTTAGGCACTTGAGTTGATTTTTTAAAAAAAAATAAAATAAACAGTGTGCCTTCCCGACCTCGAACCAACATTCTTGCACATTTCATAACAGGGTATATACACAAATATAGAGGGGACCGTTGTAAGGTCATATGCAGCGATTACATTGAACTATGTTTTCTAATCACGTTTTTGTCAAGTTTGTTTTGCCTAAAATACCCCCCCCCCCACACACCCCCCCCCCC